TATATATATCTTGCTGCCTCGAGGAATATAAAGGATTTTTTTGGTGTCGTGATGCAGAGATAGTTGGCACATTTTTGTTAGTATGAAATTTTCAGGTACAATTTCTTGATTTGAACACACAAAATTAAGACCCTTGGGAGTGACAACCAGAGACAACAATTGTTCTTATTGTTGGCATTAACAACCAAATGAATATATTAATCAGAAGATAGTGACAACCAGAGACAGCAAACTACCTTTGGTAACGATGGGGTGAGTTGGAGAAAGAGGAAACGAAAGCCAGTTGTTTGAATTCATGCTTGCTTTCTTGCACTTATGAAGCGAATAATATGTGAACTCCTGCAGAAATTTAACACCAAAAAGTTGCAGAAAACAAGAACAAGAGAGGAAGCACTGAATAAAGACAGAAGTAGTATTTGATTGCTTGAAAGAGACCAGTGAACGGTGGAGATTGCATACACAGGTTCGTTCTCACACAACAGGATAGGCAGTTGAAACAGAATATTGAGCTTTAAGCTTTAGTTTTGAGAACTGCTAAAACTTAGTAGGAACATCTAAAGAAGGCAAGCTGACTTGGAGTGCCCATTCAGCTCTAAAACTACATAGATTTTATTATAAGAGAAGATACGAACACAGAGGTACACCTCCATAAAAGACATACAAATGCTCAATTACAACCTGATACTAAGTTATACCTGAATCCAATATGATATAGATTATTTACAATAAACTGCCCAACAACATTCTTATATAGAGAGAAGATGATTGGAAGGTTATTTGAAACTTCCAAGTAAATCAAGGTTTATATATGTACCTGAAATGTGGGGGTGTGGGTCTGTCGTATAATCAAACATGTGGGATGCACCACCATATTTTTTTCTCGTTTCTCTATCTAAACAAAATCTATGTCTCTGCACACATGGCTTGTAAATAAGATTAATGAAATCTATAATACTATTACATTAAATACACACTCATAGCTTATATATACACCCTTCTATTCCAAAATATTCATCTTCATAGATTTTAGTTCATTTGGAATTTTATTGAAAAGCATCATCTAAATAACCTTAGATTAGCTAAATTATTAACATTATATTATTACAGAATCATACAAACACCGAAAAGTCATATTTCATCACCATATTGTACAAAATAACAACAAATCCACAGCAATCATCAAAGTTACTGTAATTCATTTATACACAAAATCCGTATGATGCATGGCAATTCAATTCCTTGACTGAATTCGGTAATAAACCGTTTACATATTATTAGTGTAATTTCAATTAACGACCGGCCCCAGTAGCTAGCTACAGACGAGTAAATAAACGCGTACCTGCTCCATGGATGAATGAAGATTCGAGTGTTAGGGTTTTACGAAGAAGGTTGTTGGAAATTGCAGCGAGACGCGTAGGGGGCGGAGGGCTTTGAATTTCAAATATTATTATCACCTGCAATTGAATAGCCTAAACAGAGAATGAGCATGAACAACTTACTCGATTCTTACTAATCAACAGTATTCCGATCATTAGGCAACCAACCTCCAACTCGCCAAAGCAACATGCACACGCTATTCCAAAAAAAAAAAAAAACAAAAAACCACGGGAAAAAAGTACTAGATCAGAATCCAAATCACAAAATTCAAATAAATGTAATCCGAAAACCTGCAAACGATGGAAATTTCCTCGATCAACAAATCAAATGGATGAAGGAAAACTGATTATGTGATTCAATCAAATCGTAGCTTCGTAAGTAGGTACAGGGAATACAGCGCGATCGTAGCTTCGTCCAGGGGAGTTGTGAAGCCCTCCACGTGAAGGGGAAATGGTAAAGTAGGAAATGGGTTTAATAAAATGGGCTGATAAGTTATGATAAGTGAGGTTAATAATATGGGCTGATTAAAAGTGATAAGAAAGTCCCAATGAACAGATCAATCCGATATTAAAAGTCCTTTTGATATTTGGGCCTAGTTCAAAATGGTTCTAAATATAATATGTTATTTATATCATTTTAAATTTTAATAGGACACTTTTAAGTGTCTTATTAGCTTTTAAACACTAATACAACAATCAAAAATGTCTTATTAACTTTTAAAATTAACATGACACTAAAAATGTCCTATTAAATTCTAAAATAATATGACACTTTAAAATGCCCTATTATTCTTTAAAATAATACGACACGTAAAAGTGTCCTATTAGACCATAAAATAACATGACATTCAAAAGTGTCGTATTAGATTACATGATAGGACGTCAGGATATGTTAATAAGACATCAAAATTAAGAGTCATATAAGATTAAATAAAATAGGACTCATAAACTAATGTGTCGTATTAGCCTTTTTAAAGGACGGTTTTCGAAAAGTGTCCCAAAAAAGTGTCCTATAAACCTCTTTTTGTTGTAGTGCATGTTTTTAATGACCACCAAGTTCAAGAAAACTCGATCGATGAGAAAGAGGAAGAAGAAGAGTGGTTCAAAATCATGGATACACTTGGAGAACTCGGAAGTTGATAGAAACAAGAACTATATAACTACAGAAAAAACTGAAAGATGAAGAAAATACAACTTTAAATAAACTAGAAACCGCGAAAGATGAAGAATACAATGGAAAAGATTAAAAAATTAAGATAATTACTATAATTAACTGTTCTATCAAAGATAACGATATAAATAAAAATCTCGTACAAATAAAAAAAACAATAAACTCTAATTTCCTATACTACCTTTCGGTCATTTATTCAATTAAAAAAATAAAAATGGGAGATTAAGATAATGAACGAATGAGATGAGATTCGTATGGTATGTTAGTTTTAAGTGGTTTGTAAAAGTGGTTCCATCTTGTTTTCGTGAGATTATTTTGTTACATTTGAAACTTTTCAGCAAAACATTGTGAAGGTTAAAAAAATCTGAATCTTCACACCAAACACATTGTGAAGTTACCTTCATAATGTTTTGTTGTGAATTTCAAGTGTAAAAATTGGTTTCAAATATCTCACAGAAACAAGTTGGTCTCATGTGATCTCAAGTCTTGTAAAATAACCTTGACACACACACACACACACATATATACACACACACATAATATATGGGAAGGGTTCAAATGAGAACACTTTTATTTTACAAGAACGCGAGAACAACCTTTTACTATAGACAATCGTATGTGATACTATTATTCCATCACATATGATACATATGTGATACTAATTAAATCAGAGACGCGAGTGATTTTCGATGTGATCTTGGTTGCGGGCCAAGTCGCGCTTACACCACTAAGCCCTTTCACAAGTATTATCACATGCGATAAGATTGTTATTGATATGATATTATAATTTATTAAGACCATCACATGTGATGTTAAATCATAAACGCAAACAACCTTTGGCGCGGCCTAAGTCGTGAAGACGTCGTCTGCACTTCACAGGGGCCCCTCACGCATATTATCACATGTGACAAGGGTGTTATCGCGTTCTCGTAAAATGTAGGTGTTCTCGTTTGAACCTCCGCCTATAATATATATTACATATATATAGTTTTAAGTTAAGTTTTATATATATATATATATATATATACACGCAACTGTTTTGTCTGTGAAAAGACGGCAGCAAAATAATTAGGGACGGCAGTTTTGTAATAAAACAAAGAGATGATGCTAAACCGTAAAGAATCCCATCCATTTAACCTTTATTATCTTCTGCTATTCTGCGTATCCGGCATTGAAGGAAGTTGCATCAATGGCTTCCCTTCCTATATTGACTGTTCTTGAACAGTGCCAAGTATCTCCACCACCGGCCACCGTAAACGACAGATCTCTGCCACTCACTTTCTTCGACATCTTATGGCTACTCTTCCCTCCGGTTCACCATCTTTTCTTCTACGACCTCCCACTCACAAAAACTCAATTCACTGAAACTGTTGTTCCCAGTCTTAAACACTCGTTATCACTCACCCTTCAACATTTTTTCCCTTTTGTTGGCAACTTAATCATATTTCCGACCCTCAATAAAAAACCCGAAATACGTTATGTTGAAGGTGATTCTGTCGCGGTTACCGTTGCAGAATGTAATCTTGATTTCGATGATCTAACAGGCAACCATCCTCGAGATTGCGAGAAGTTTTATCATCTGATACCTCTTCTTGGACAAGCTGCTAAGGTGTCCGATTATATAACAATACCAGTCTTCTCGATTCAATTGACGTTTTACCCGAACCGTGGCATCTCTATCGGAATGACTAATCACCATAGCCTTGGTGATGCTAGCACAAGGTTTTGTTTCTTGAAGGCGTGGACATCGATTGCTAGATCCGGTACAGATGAGTCATTTCTAGCTAATGGAACCTTCCCTTTATATGATAGACTGGTTAACAACCCGAAACTAGATGAAAGTTATCTAAAGTACGCCAAGGTCGAAACGTTTAACGAAGAGTATCGACCTCAAAGCCTTTCTGGACCAACTGATAAAGTCCGGGCCACGTTTGTCTTGACACGAAGTACAATCAATCTGTTAAAGAAACAGGTTTCAACAGACTTGCCAACATTAGCATATGTTTCATCTTTCACCGTAGCATGTGGTTATATCTGGAGCTGCATCGCGAAATCACGAAACGATGAACTGGAACTATTTGGGTTTGCCGTGGATTGTAGGGCACGCTTGAATCCAGCGATCCCAGCGGCCTACTTTGGCAACTGTATTGGAGGGTGCATGGCGATGGCAAAAACCACTCTTTTAACTGGAAAGGAAGGATTCGTGACAGCTGCAAAATTGCTTGGAGAGAATCTACATAAGTTATTAACCGATAAGGATGGAATCGTGAAAGATTTTTCGTGGTATGGTGATTTGTTCTCCAACGGTGTGCCAACAACGATGATGGGAGTTGCAGGAACTCCAAAGCTCAAATTTTACGACATGGATTTCGGATGGGGGAAACCCAGAAAGCATGAAACCGTTTCTATCGATTATAACAATTCCATATCTCTGAGCGCCTGTAAAGAATCAAACGAAGATCTAGAGATCGGCGTTTGCCTTTCGGCTACCGACATGGAGGCTTTCATTCCTATCTTTCACGACGGATTAGAAGCGTATCGTTAGATTCATCACATTATTCTCGTTGCTTTCTAATAAGAAACTACAAATTTCTATTTCATGGACAAGCTTGTATGTGTTTCGGAGATTTTGCAATAAAATTGTTTTTTTATGATCAACTTCAATCGAACATGGACTTGACTTTTGAAATACAACTCTTGTCTTACAGTTGGGTGTCGACACACTCCAAGCTTTATCAAGTGAATTGGATGGACTGGTGCTGAAATCCTTGGGTTTATCTCTAAAATTTTGTTTGGCTCGCATAGTTTTGTTGGTCACTTTCACATTGGTGGCAACCCTTTTTTTTGCTTCTATTTTGTGGGTATGAGGTTCCATTTTAACCACAAGAGTGATGTCTGATTGGTTTGAGCTTCGCTTCAAAGGTCAAAAGTATCTGGAGGTCTCAAGTTCATATCCAATAAGGAATAAAAATCCCCTTGTGGTCATGAAAGTTCAAATGCGGTGGCTATCTGCAAAGCAGGTGGTCGCGCTGAGATTAGTCGGCTCGTATAGTGGGTTGGATATCCAGGTTGAATTAAACAAAAAAAAAAAAAAACGTAGATGCTTTGAGGCTTTAATAGTTGTGTGCATCGTTGTTGCGACCTTCAAAAGCATTTGTCTTGAGGATACTTGCTAGTCGGCTTCTCGGTTTTGGCAATGATTTTCGGTTCGAGGTCATCCATCTTGTTTATTTATTTCGTAAATTTTCTGTATGGTTTTTCTTGTTCGTTGGACTCACTACAAGGAAAAAGGGCTTCAGAGAAGGAATTTCTAGAGAAGATTTTAAAAATGTATATAAAAATGTATTATAGAGAAGAAAATGAATAAAAAAAGTGGAAAACGTAACTGAGTGCATAGTGACCTAGGACCATTCAACTTCCAGAAGTTTGATCTCTTTTGGCATTTCTAAGATCTGAACCACATGAATTCTTGCATGACAAATGAAAGCCTCCTATCCAAAAAGTCAAATTTTAAACTCCATGGAATATGCTACAATGATTACGATCATTGATAACATTTTATTGGTGGGCATGGAGCTTTTGAATGATGAACAGGAACACAACCTAGAATGTTGAATGCAAAATTAATTGATCAAATGACAGAGCTAGATGAAGCTATATCTAATACAACTTTCATGTCTTTGAAGGTGCCTTTTACATAAAGGGCCATTTCTTGGATAATCTTCTTGCACCTTTTCGAAATAGAGGATTGTCTAACAATCCTTTTTTTGATGAGACAGAGACTTTTCGAAAATTGCATTATAGAGAAAAAGAGGGTTAGGTTAATGACTATTCTCGCACTTCATACGTAAGTTACGTTTAACGAACTCTTTTGCATGTCTTCATCGTTTTATAAATCACTAAGATTTATATATATGATTTTTATGTCCATAAGAGAACATGGTAGAGATTAAACGGCAAACTGAATCAACAGAAAATCCTTCGAGTGATATAGAGATTATGCAACAAGTCTTAGTTTTTCATCTTCATTAACTGTTCAAGACCAACATTCGGAGACTCAAGATCGTTAAACATGCTATATATGATTATTTTGAATGTTTTTTTTGTTGATAAATTTAGACGATATATGAACTAGTTGAATATTAAATTTGGATGGTTCTTATATATATTAAATTGTTTTGAGATTATTATTAATTTGTTCCTGATTAATTTAATAATATTTATTAGTTTAATGTTATTATAATATATATATATATATATATATATATGTGTGTGTGTGTGTGCGCAGTTGAATTATGGATAAAAATAAATATATAATATATTTTTTAGAGAATGAATTGATTTTTTAATAGTGTAACTAAAGATAATTTTTAGAGAAGATTTTGAGTTTGTGTATCTAAATATCATATTTAGAGAAAATTTTGTAAGTGTAACTAACGGGGATTTTTAGAGAAGATTTTTTAAAAGTATCACTAAAGCCAATATCTTTAGATAAGCTTTTCCATTACCTTCTCTAAAAGTATCATATAGTAACTCTTATAAACTGTCACAAATACTTTAAAAACGTCACTAATATATATACTTTTAGAGAAGTTTTGAATAAAAAGTTGATTAACCTTTAAAGAAATTTTGGACGCGTATCTAAAGCCTCAAATAAGCGTCTCTAAAGGCCAACAAAAACGCACCCTACGGAAACCCTCCCTAAAACCTTACCTACCGTTATACAGAGAAGCTATTTGACAGAATTGAAAAGCTTATCTAAAAGCTTTAGAGAAGCTTTTAAGACTTTTAAGTACAAAACGATACCTTCTTTGAAGATTATTTTTCTTATAGTGACTTCTTGTTCTTTTGTATGTGTTGTGTTGTAGCTCTTTGTTCCGGTTGACTGCATCTGGCAAACATTTGGTGGCTGAACTCTTGCAGTTTCTTGTTTGTTTATTATAACAAAAACTTAAATCCCTTCTCTCTCCCTCTGTCCCTTCTCGACCACCAGCAGAAACCACCTCTAGAACAATGAGATCTATTAAGAAGAAGAAAAATGATCTGAATCAATCTATGGCTTCAAATGCCACTCAACATTTACACAATCAGCCCTTCGGAACTAGCATCCTTGCGCTGCTAACCTCATAGAATCAACAGATTCGTGAGCACAGTCCTTTATGCGGTTATACCGTTGAACTTCAATTAATCTAATTCTCATATCTCACTTCCTAAAAGCCCTGATTCATCTCTACCCAATAGTATTCCACAACATATCTTTTCAGGCTGTTAATAAGATAACATCGATAAACGCATAATAGGTAACTGATCAACATCATACAACTGATCGACGTAGAATATAGTCGGTGTGGGCATCAATGACGGCATTTGGTCGACGACTTTCTTGTCCCGTTTCTTTGTCTTTACGACCGTAAATGGATATTTCGTCCACCACGATTTCTTGCTCACTCATTTCACAAAAGTATCAGACAAACAAACTTTTCATGTGGCACAAACGAGACCCTTGATGATGTAGATGGTACAACATCCATCGCAGGCTCCTGTTACGACAGAAATTGTATATACACAATCCAATATAATAGTAAAAGTTTATTTAATTGTTAGCTTGTAATGTAAAAACATCAAAGAGCTTAAACATATTTACAGCATCCATCAAAAAGTCCGGATGCGTCATAAATTGTGTACGCACGATCCTATAAATTAGAATGTTTATTTAATTGTTAATTTGTAAAGTAAAAAAATAAAAAAACTTAAACATATTTACTCCAACCATCGCAGGATCCTGCTGCGGCATAAACTATGTACGTGAAATCAAATATAAATTAAATTTTTTATTCCATCGTTAACTTATAAAGTAACAACATCAAAAAACTTAAATATATTTACTACATCCATCGAAGAGTACTGTTGCGCTATAAACTGTGTACACACGATACATTAGAAAAGTTTATTTAATTGTTAGTTGTTAACTTGTAATCCATCGCAGGATCCTGTTGCGGCATAAACTATGTAGTACAATCTAATATAGATTAAAAAGTTTATTTAATTGTTAACAATATAAAGTAAAAACATCAAAAAACTTAAACATATTTACCATATCCATCGAAGAGTACTGTTGCGCCATAAACTGTGTAAACATGATATAATATAAATTAAAAAGTTTATTTAATTGTTAACTTATAAAGTAAAAAATAAAAAAAACTTAAACATATTTACCGCATCTATCGTAGGATCGTGTTGCAGCATAAACTACGTACACACAATCCAATATATAGAAATTAAAACGTTCATTTAATTGTTAATGTAAAGTAAAAAAAATTATAAATCATAAACATATTTACTTAATCACCCTGCCAATGTTTTTATGGTGTATAGTTAGCCCTCGGTACTTGTTTTGGCATAGCCTTCTCAAACTTATTAAATCTCGTGTTGAGTAACCCATATTTTGCGTTTATAGGGCATGTCATTGACGCGGACTTTTCATCGACCCCAAGGCTCAGTTGGTTAATTCAGCAAGCCATCGGGAGACGTCGGTATATATGTCGCAGATGAATATCCTTGTTATGGTTCATACCATGGAGCTTGTGACGTGTATGCTGCAAATGATTGACCGCTTTAGATGGTGGGACGTTGTCGTCGTCATCATCATCATCATCTTCGTCACCTATGCCATGATCTAGGCTTGGTTGTCCATTACGATTATTCGCTAAAAAAGGACCTGCTTTCGATCCATTATTGGGCCTCCTCCTCCAAAGGTGTCGTCACCAACGAGGTGAGGGGTCGAAAAGCGTTCTGAAAATATATGAATCATTATACTATTTTTTTTCACATAAATATTATAATTAAACCTAGTAAATTTAAATTTATGATAAATGAAACCAAACCTTTTCAATTTCGCCAAACTCGCAACACTCTTCCCACTTGATGTTTCTCATCCTTTTCCATCCAACGACTCTTAGGATTGACGGATTATAACGAAAATAACTTTCACCATGAAAAAAGTGTCCAAAATCTAGATTTGTTAGATTACAAAAAAAAAAAAAAAAAACATTGTGAGAAAATGTCAATTTAATATATAAATAAAATAACATCTTAAAAAACAAATAAATAATAATAATCGACCTTGATACATATACGAAACCATGTGTATTTGTTGGGAGGCCAATTTTTGTGCCTGCAACGCTAAAACATATTTCTCAACTCTTATATGTCAGACATCATATATACGAGACTCGCTGGTATTGGTTCTAGACATCCAAATCTTCAACAAGTTGTAAAATCCAGTGTTGGACAGTGTGGTTTTCTTTTCCGTCCTAGAAATAACGCATGAAGCATGATTATAAGATACACACGCACTGCATCATCTTCTGATTTGTCTTGATTATTTAAGAAGATTAATTTATTTCTAAAATGATCGACTTTAATATCAACATGTTTGGTCATTTTACCAAACAATCTTGTATTTATTGAGGGAATGATACAATGTGGTGGACGAAACTTTGACCCAAATCGAGAACCTGTGATCAAACAGAACTCATGTCAGCTAAACCGAGAATGGAACCTCCAACATGATGAAAGATTTCTTCAGATTGAGAAGGGAAAAAGGGTCATCACATTGCATCATCCAATTAATTTAGGATGAATCTCCATGTGGGTTAGATATATCTAACCATGGGCTGAAACATGTCTGTCTAAACAGTTGCAACCTTCTTAGATTATTCTTTAATTTTTCGTTAATTTTGTTTTAATAACTTGGATTTGAGCCCTCAACGTCACTAAACTTTGATAGAACACCTATTAAAAAAATCATAAATTAAAATAGATTGTTAAGTTAAATACTAATCAAAAATATATTGTTAAGTTAAATATTAAAAAAAATCATAAATTAAATCATAGATTATTAAGTTAAATACTAATCAAAAATAGATTCTTAGGTTAAAAAAAATTAAGATTTCTTACAGGTGGTTCCATGATATATAACGGGGGCGATGAACGGTGGTGGATGTTGGTGTACGGTGGTAGATGCTGGTAGTTGTGGTGGACGTCGGTATACGATATACAGTGGAAGATGTCGGTGGACAGTGGTGGACGTCGGTGGTTGTTTACGGTGGTCAATGGTGTAGATGGTTGTAGATTTTCGATGAAAATGGTCCCCTCTACACATTTTTATTCAAAATTGTCCCAAATAAGACAAAAAAATGCCAAACTCACCCCCAATGTATTGTCACATCGTCATTTAAGTGTCAAATCAAACATAAACTTACGTCGTACTATGTTTTCATTACAAGACATAATAGCAATAAAAACGCCCCGGGGTGATTCACATGGAAGAGGGCGATTCGCATGAAAAGTTTTTAGAAAATCCGATTTTTGTTCCATAAACAATATGCATGTCAAACCAATCCATACCTGATTATGCACCATCACCCCCAATAAAGTAAAATTGCCCTCTAGATGCGATTTTTGTGGTCATTTTATAAAAGAAGTCTGAAAATGGTCATTTTATAAGTGTACTATGTATAAAGTGATCATTTTTTGGGTAATTTCCCTTGCACACATACACACACACATATCTATATTATAATATAAATCATTTGATAAAAACTCTTAAAAACATTATTTATGCATGAAGTACTATGTATTAATACATATTACCTAAAAATTTAAGATTACAAGTAAATTGTAGATAAGTACAACTTATTAAAGCTCTATTTTTGAATCCGTATAACTAACTGCAGAAAAACATAATCAAATACAGGATAAACAACTCATTTTAAATATAAGAAATCTAAAATATAATTAGGATAATAATTAAGTTCTAACAGTCATTATCTTTATAATAATTATATTGTTAAGCCAAAAAATAAATTATTTCACTATTTGACCTAAATTAAATTATAATAAAAAATTGAATTAAAAAATTAAACAAAAAAAAAACGAGAACTTTTGAATAGTTAATTTGATATTAGTATCGATATTTTTTTTTTCAAATTTTTATGATATCTTCAAATGTATTTTTATTCAAAAATAAAAACATTATCTTTTTTAAAACCACATAAACCGTATTATATCAACAGAGACAAAAAAATAAAATAAAACATTAAAATGAAGATGTATCTCGTTGCATTACACGAGTACCCTTCTAGTATATATATATATATATGTATATGTATATGTGTGTGTGTATATGTATATGTATATATATATATGTATATGTATATGTGTGTGTGCGTTTATTTATATATGTATGTATATGATGCATATAGAGAGAGAGAGAGAATAAAAAAATTCAATTACAAACTTATTTTTCATTGTAAACATGAGGACTGATCTCGGCCATCCATTTTATTTGATCTAACTATTCATATTAAAAACAATTTTAAATTAAAATTATTAATTAAGATGATTAGGGGTAAAAAGACATTTAATTTCAATCGATGCCTACCTTTTATGACTTTTTTTAATCAAAAATTTTTACCGCCTTAAAGTTTAAAATAAATTATCTTAAAAATTACTAATATTTTAATCAAACAAATTACATAAAAAAACAAAATTCCCATGCTCTTCGATATGAATCCATCTCGATATGGTTTTTTTCTCCATTTTAACCCTTTTTTATGTGTGTGTGTGTGTGTGTGTGTATGTGTTATATTCTTTATGAATATTTATGTACATGTACAATAGCTCGACACCGTAAGTTCGTAACTCAACATCACCTTCTGCAACATTTTCTTTAACATCGTAAGGCATTGCGTTCTTCATCATCGTAACCAAACACTCATCGAGGCCAATCCAAAACCTATCGAGATCAATCGAAAACCTATCGAGAATCCATTGAGATCGATCGAGAAAGGTCGAGAATCCATTCATTGACTTGGTATGTGTTAATTTTAAACCATAACCTAGCACCTTCATTTTCAATCGAGAATATATCAATTAATTTATTATTTGTTTGTGTGTGTAAAATATAGGCTACGACTTTCAGCTTTTATCGAGATGGATCGGGAATCCATTGAGACCAATCAAGAACATATTATGATTGATTTACAACTCATTGGGACCGATTGACATCAATTGAAACCAATCAAGACTAATAAAAAACCCATCCATTGATTTGGCGTGTGGTTGTGTGGCTAAATAATAACATAACACTTTAGTTTTTTATCGAGACCGATTGAGAACCTATTGATATATCATACTAATGGTGAAAATTAATATTTATGATAAATATCATACTAATGTAAATACTAGAAAGTTATTTTATATATGTGATCACACATAAATATTCATGATGAATGTTACAGTGAAAATAGTATATTAATGTTGAATATCATACTGATGTATAAATGTTGAAAAATTGTTATATACATGTGAACATATATAAATCTTCATGATTAATAGTATGTACTATATTGATGTATGAATATTAAATAGTTATTGTATACGTGAACAAATACACACACACACACACACACATATATATATATATATATATATTCATGATGAATGTTAATAAACAAAACGTATGCTCATGATGAATACTATTTATGTTTATGATGAATGTTATAATGAACATATATATATTGATGATGAACATCAAAGTGATGTATAAATATTGAAGATTTGTTGAATACACATGAAAATACATAACTATTCATGATGAATGTTATAGTAAGTTGTATATCCATGATAAATATCATGCTAATTTGTTAATATTAAAGAGTTACATATGAACCTGCATAAATATTCATAATGATATAACACAGATATACTATTTGACGTAAAAAAACATAAAAACATAAAATAAAAAAAATTATATCGAGATAGATGTCAAATCAAAGAGAATGAAATGCTCGATTTTTTGATGTAATTTGTTTGATTAAAATATTAATTTTTCAGACAATTTAGTTTAAAAATTAAGAGGGTAATAATTTTTAATTAAAAATAAAATAAAAAGTCAAATATATTAGGCGTAAATTCTAACTTCCATTTTTTTGTCCCCAATCACTTTAGTTAACTTTTTTTATTTTTTAATCATTGATTAATTTTCTAAATTTTGATCAATGGTCACGATTTGTCCTCATGTTTACAATAAAAAATTAATTTTTATTTGAACTCACCCATATATATATATATATATATATATATATATATATATATAGGGGCTGGTTCAAATACTAACCCAATATTTTGTGCAAACTATGCTAACCTATCTTAATCGTTCATTTTCTCATCTAACGGTTATTATTAAATGAGATTAAATAAACAATAATTTAATTAATATATTAATTAATA